AAGTCAATTTATTTCTATTCAAAATTACGTTGGCTGATTGATAAGTAAGGTCTCCAATCCGATAAAAAGGCTTGGACCAGAAAGAATTTCGAAAGAGGTTTCAAAATAAAGTTAATATATTTCTATTCAAAATTACGGCGCCTGATTGATAAGTAAGGTCCACAATCCGATAAAAGAAATTAGAATAGAAAGAATAACGAAAGAGTTCTCAAAATGAAATCAATTTATATCCCTTAAAATATTATGGTTGATTAATATGTAATGCCTCCAATCCTATAAAACATGTTTTATGAAACATGTTTTATAAACAAAGAACTGTTGCACCTAATGGTCCCTCCTGTTAAGTACAAGGTCTTTGTATTCAGTTCTTCCGAAATTAATCGCATAACAATGGGTTAAATAGTAGGGCACCGTTCATCCTTGGTTGGCAACCAGTCTAGGAGAAAGAGAACTCAGTGCAGCTAAATTTATGATCTCCAATGAATCTGATCTGCTGATGATATATCAGAGATTACTAATAATCCTCAGCGTAGCTTTGGATTAGAGGAACCCCAAATCCGTCTTTGTTTCAGAACATTTTTGAAAGAGACAAAATAACTCAAGACCATCTCCAAGATGATGGAACAAAAGAACAGATGTGACCATCAGCTTCTGATCAATGGATTCCTCAAAGGAATCAAGAGGGCATTGGGAAATCTTTTAGTACATAGAAAATGGCGTTCTCAATTTTTTTTTTTGAAATAATTTTCATCCTGTAAAAGATCCAAGAGCCTCTCGAGGTGGAAGGGTACAGAGTAAGATGTAATGAGCACAGTTTATGTAGGGAAGATAACAATTAACACTGAACTAGTGAAGACTGTATTAATTGGGGGAGCATCCTCTTGGGAGTCGGTTTCACAAAGAAGCGCTTCATGGGAAGAAGCTGCTCGAGTAGAACTTACATCTCACCAGTGGAATACGAAGGAAATGAGGGTAGTTCGCTACATTGGGCGTGGCATGGTGGGTCATAAACTTGAAAGTTAGAACTGGTGGAACTAAAGAATATAGTTTATCTGAACTATTTTCAAAATAACATTGCTTATATAAACAGAAGAAATGGTTTGTAGGACTGAAGATTGTTTCTTTTTTACAGTAAGGTTCGCCCTGTTTAAGGCCCGGGAGCCACTCGAGGTAGAGGGTTACAGTGTAAGAGGCAGAGTTTATGGGGTTATGTCTAGAAGATAACGGTTAACCCTAGACTTGAAGAGGTTAAGAGTGTAGCGATCTGGGAAACATCCTCTTGGGAATCTGTTCCACAAAGTAGTGGTTCGATGGAAGAAGCTGCTTAAGTGGAACTTACTTCTCACTAATGAAATACGAAGGGAATATTGGCGTTTCGCAAAAATGTGTGTGTCACTGCGGGTCCTAGCCGTCGAGGTTGGAACTGGTGGAATTAAGGAATGTAGATTGTGCGAATAAATTCCATGGAAGTAGAAACATCCTCTTGGGAATCGGTTCCACAGAGCAGTGGTTCGATGGAAAAAGCTGCTTATGTCGAACTTATTCTCACCAATCTAATACGAATGGAGGTTCGCTACAATCTGTGTGTCACTGCGGGTCCTAGCCGTGGAGGTTAGAACTGTTGGAAATAAAGAGTCTAGTTCGTCTTAGTACTTTTTACAGAAATAGTGACAAATCAGTAAGAAATGTTTCGCCTGTGAGACAGGGATAGTAGGGTGGAAAATATTTTGTGTACAAAAATTTAACTTTAATCGATCGAGTTCAGATGAATGGAGAGTGATAACCGGTTAGCTCAATCTGTTCTTCCCTTTTATCCTATATTATTTATGGCCGTGTGTATTGTTTTAATTACGATTTTTACCTCTAATTAAAAAAAACAAAAAAAAAAAAATTCAAATAATAAAGAAAGTACACCTATTGAACTCCCGCCCAAATATGCCAGTAGTAATCCATTTTAGGCCCGATCTGGCACTTTTAAAGATAAAAGATAGCATGGGGCGTCATGTCCTTACTGTAGCGGTACAAGCAACCGGCTAATTTTCCTTCATCTTTCGCGACGGATCGTAGGTAGAATTTCCACACGAGGTCTGGGTTGAGTTTGAGGCCCAATAGTCGCTTAAGGCAGGGGGGCTCCCCGAGGGAACCTCCATTCATTGTGACTGGTGGTATTTTAGGGTCGAATCGGAGATGTAATTTCTTGCTATTTTAGTGGAAGGGTTTATTAGTAATCATCATAATAATCATCGTCGTCGTCATAATCCCCTTGACTTTCGTAATCGTTGTAGGATCCAAATGCCGAAGTCGTATTGAATCTCCTCCACAGCGGTTTATAAACGGCAACCATCAGCAATTCCGGTATAGTCATACTTGTCTATTGTTTGAAACTGTCCAACCAAAAGCTCATTTTGAGCCTCCATATTTATTGTCAATTTGGGCCAACGATACGATGGCTGTTTCAATCCGTGTGCGGATTTCCAAGTTGCAGGTACCATCTTTAGACAAGACAAGATTGCTCCTAAGTATTTAAAACTGGACACGTCCTCCATTGAATTCCCATTCATGATATTATTGACACAGTTGTTACTGTTTGTGCTATTCACCATTACTTTGGATTTATAGGAGCTGACCTCCATTCCATATGTTCTTGTTTTTCAACACATTTGTTGGCAAAGTCCAGGAGCTCAGTGATACTACCTGCTATGGGGGTCAATGTCGTCTGCAAAACGTATCTTACAGACTGCAATACCACTGACAGAGAATGAAGGACGTACAGGTTTTATTGCATGATTCTCTCTATATTGTTACTAGCAGCATGGCCCGGCGTTTCCCGTTCTTGATTCAAAAATCTTACGACTCATACAGCAATCGCTATCACTTGACTTAAAATATTTTTGCCCTTCCTTGCTTTTAAAGGAGTGCCCTTTGCCGTGCTGATGTTGCTACATACCTTACTTCTTGCCTATCTCACACTGCGAATTTTTTAGAAGCTCTATACTAAACATTAAATCTGTTACCAAAAAAGAACTAAACAAAATGAACACAAAACGATCAGCTTTAAAAAAGGACTCGTAACTGGAAAAACCGAATGAAAAAAGAATGTTAACAACAAATAATTTTTCACATCCAACCCAATTCTGTGGAATCGAATCAACGTTGATTTTAAGCAAGCGAATGAGCCAATTGGAGTAGTGTCATGCAGATTTAAATTCTTTCCCACTTGTGACGAATGCAGCTATAGATTTTTTTTGCATTCTTGCATGCTAGTTAACATTCCTGTCAGTCAGCTGTTGGCTCTCACGCTGGCCAATAGAATCTTCCTGCTTATTCGTGACAGCCAGCTATAGGCTCTCACTCTGGCCAGTAGAAAATGGCCGCACTCTACATGAAAACTGCCGTAGAAGCATGAAAAAATCGATTATTTTCACTATCGATGGGAGTTGGGAAATGCAAAGTCAGTCTTGGCCATTCCGCTAACTTGGAGCATGTGCATGTAAATTTTGGGGCAAATCCGTCGAAAATTGCGGCCGCACATTCGTCACACACACACACACACACACACACACACACACACACACACACACACACACACACACACACACACACACACACACACATCCTGCCTTTTATAAATAGAGTTAATTATTATTATTAGTAGTAGTAGTAATAGTATAATCATTTTAATATTAATATAAATGCTAAATTTAGATTGCAATAGGCGGTCAAGTTTTTCAGCATGTTCAGCGTGAGTTACGAATTGGAGATGTTACAATCATGCAATTATTAAACTTTCAATATCTGGCAAGTGTCATAACAGTCGGCGGAAAATGTGAACCTGGGTTGAGCTTGAGTTTGAGAAAATAGCCATAAAATAGCGAAGGGTTTCGTTTCGTCTGCGTGAAAGGCGTTATAGAATTGTAAATAATTTCTAACCCACAAGTAATGGAAGACGCTTTTGGACTCTACCGAGACTAGAAAGTGAAACCTTGCCAGCTTCTGTCCGTATACGGCAGCGGTACTCAACCTGATCTGGCTCTTTTAATAGAGATTCCACAAAGACCCTGTAAATTAGACCAACAGTTTTCCAGATCATGTGACCAATAATTCAGAAACGAAAAACGAAAAAAAAAAGGGCTTTTTTCTGAAAATTAAAAGAAAATCAATTCTTTTCTCGATATAATTAAGACAGGAAGGATAATTATTTCAAACGTACGATTTGGCGTACAATAGAAGAATTCATGAACGAAGAGAAAAGCAGAAATCATTGCATGATTGTTTGAGAATCATCAAAGCGCCTTTAATGTCAGTGAGGAGCAATTATTAGCAAATAAAGAGGACGGTTAATAGAAACAAAATTTCAAATAGCATTAAGAGCGACATATAGGCTGCGAAAATTGAACAAAGTGTGACAGTAATTGATAATGTATTTTGTTGCAAGGAGGCGTTGTTGTTACTGTTAATTTGCATCAACCACGAACATTGAACGATATCATTAACTATATATAATAATGGACGTATATATATATCTATCACAGTGTCTTCATATCTATCTATCTATCTATCTATCTATCTATCTATCTATCTATCTATCTATCTATCTATCTCAGTCTCTTCATTATCTATCTATCTATCTATCTATCTATCTATCTATCTATCTATCACAGTTTCTTCCTATTTCTCTAACACATTCTCTTCATATCTATATATGTATGTTTGTTTGTATGTACGTACGTATATATGTATTTACCACAATCTCTTCATATCTATCTATCTATCTATCTATCTATCTATCTATCTATCTATCTATCTTAGTCTCTTCATATCTATCTATCTATCTATCTATCTATCTATCTATCTATCTTAGTCTCTTCATATCTATCTATCTATCTATCTATCTATCTATCTATCTATCTATCTATCTATCTATCTAAGAGTTTCTTCCCCTTTCTCTACTTCACTCTCTTCATATCTGTGTATGTATGTATATCTGTATGTATGTACGTATGTATGTATCTATTTACCACAATCTCTTCATATCTATCTATCTATCTATCTATCTATCTATCTATCTATCTATCTATCTATCTAAGTCTGTTAATATCTATCATATTATCTATCCCAGTCTGCTAATATCTATCTATCTATCTATCTATCTATCTATCTATCTATCTATCTATCTATCTATCTATCTATCTATCACATTCTCTTCATATCTTGTATGTATGTATGTTTGTATGTATGTAAGTATGCATGTATCTATTTACCACAATCTTTTCTATCTATCTATCTATCTATCTATCTATCTATCTCTTCATATTTCTCTATCACATTCTCTTCATAATGTATGGATGTATGTATATTTGTACGTATGTATGTATTTACCACAATCTCTTCATATCTATCTATCTATCTATCTATCTATCTATCTATCTATCTATCTATCTATCTATCTATCTCATTCTGTTCATATCTATCTATCTATCTATCTATCTATCTATCTATCTATCTATCTATCTATCTCATTCTGTTCATATCTATCTATCTATCTATCTATCAGTATTTTTGTAAGTATCTATCTATTTATCTATGTATCTATCCACACGCACGCACGCACACAGGCACACGCACACACACCCGTTTTCGCACGCACACGCACACACAGACACACGCAGACACGCACACGTGTACACGCGCGAGCGCACACATAGACACGCGGGCGCTTGTGCACACACACACACACACACACACACACACACACACACACACACACACACACACATATATATCAAGAGCCTAAAGTTTGCCTATTGATAATGTCGGAAATTCCCAGATAGGAATTTTATAATTATTAATTTTTGTTTCTTTATATAATAAAGAAAATTTTCGACCTGATTAGATTAGCATTTCGCAGTATCAGGAGAAGAGGAATTTTTCTATTATTAATTTTATGAAGTGGATACTTAAGTTATCAGATCAAAACTACACACATAAACACAAAATAGAAATCCACACATACATAAATACATATATATATATATATATATATATATATATATATATATATATATATATTAAAGTTGTAATTAAAATTGTAGTTAAATAAAATGAATTCTAACCTAAACTTCTTTTTACTTAGTACTACACGCACTTAAAAGAATACAATAAAACACCAACAGTAAAATGAAATTAATAAGAAATGCCAGAAGATGTAAGCTTATGAATGACCCATGTCCTTTGTACTTACATGAGAAACAATATATTACTAGGTTTATATAAAAAAATAAAAGTTTACTAAATCAGTGAAATGAAGTAACTATTTTTGCCGTCATTGTCATAAATTTTACTTAAATAATATTTAAATACAAAAAAAAATGTAACCTAATATACATACTTACACTTGATGTAAAAATAATTCTACATACTATAAGGGATTCTAATACATTTAATTGTTCTTAAAAAATATAGTATATTAAAAATTAAAAATTAAAATATTTCAAATCGTAGTTAAATAAAACGTATTCTAACCTAAACACCCCCAAAAATCTTTAAATATACAAATAGAGAAAAATGCCGTAAAAATGTTTGCCGTTAACAATAAATTTTTAAAAAATCCAGACGACATGCATTCAAAAAATACATCCCTACCCCTACCAAAACGTAACTAATATCGGATACATCAAAATACAGACATAATGAACACGCAGACACCCCTTGTCTGGTTGAATGGATTTCTCTGTAACCTTGTAAACGTGAATTATGATTTTAGCTGTGTCTTTAAAACCCAGTAATTTTAAAAGTTACTCCAAAATTCGCTTGAGGATGAAATGGAACTAATGTCTTTAATTTAATTACAAAATTAAATTCGTAGCTTTTAGGCCTCCATTTTTGAAATATGTTTAGAACTGTGTAGCGAAAAAAAAAATATTTTAAATAAATCAATTTATAATATTAATGCTCTGTAAATTTACATTGAGCACTATTTTGTAAAAATAAAAATATCTATAAGAACACCGGATTATATATCTTACTGTTATTTCTTTATATATATATATATATATATATATATATAGTTTCCTTTCTTTCACCATGCGGTCAGTTTTGGTTATGCCATAAGTTCCTTTATCAGTTACTAGTTGCTAGAACATTTTAATTGTTATCACTGTTGAAAATACACGAGGTTTTTGCTTGTGATTCTGGAATGCCAGTCTACGAATTTCAAAGTAGAATGGTTCTCCCTGCTGGCCATCCTTCAGCCACTAAATTCCAATTTTAATCAGAGAAAGCGGCCGTATCCAGCAGGGTGTTTAGATATTTCTGAACGAATCTGGCGCTATGATTGACATTCCTATGAAAGTTTCGGTCTGATGAGTCTAAGAATATGACAAATGTTTGGTTTACTATCTGCTTGCATATTGATTTCTTTACTCCTATAATAAATTTGTCATAACCGATCCATACGCTGAGGTATTTGTCTAGTATTTGTCAATCCTATATCCTGAATGTTTATTATGGGTTCATGATTCGCGCTGTAGAGCCCTAACAGACGTAGTAGGAGCAACCCCAAACAAACCTAGCAGCATTTCAGGTATAAAAACAACGCGAAACCTTGAAGTAAATTTCGTCCGGGTTTTCCTTTCGAACTATGTAACATGAACTTTTCACACTGAAGCAAAAGGGGCTGTGACCCCTTCACACTAAAACACACCAACATAAATATATTCAATTACTGTCTATATTTCTGAGATGAAGTATTGTAATTATTTATATTTTCCTCCTCTTTATTACCAAATTCACAACGATTCGGCCGTTCTTCAGGTGATTGGAATTTCGAACTGAACCCTTTATTTTGTCCTGCGGGATAGATTGTTTTAGTTCCACGGGCCATGCCTCTTCCATATGTTTCAGTTGTCTCCCTCTAACTAAGCTCTCCAAGTTTCTGCTCACCGCTGCAGTAGACAAGTATTGAACTCACAACTCTTTGGATCAAGTCACTGTATCCAGCAAATGTTTTATCTACTGGGACATATGTATGAATTTTGGGTACCTATAAACTTAGAACCAATTTTTACCAAACCTCATATTACAATTTTGTTGTTATTATTGCTTTTCTCTATCTCTCTAGCACTTTTCTTTATCACTTTTCTCTGCTTCCCATATTGTATTTATTTCTGTTCTTGGCCGGCTTAAGAGATTTTTGTGGCTTAGCATATGTGTTGATTCTTTAGGTTTTCGTATTTTCGAGTGATATTCTTTGTCTATTATTTCAACCTCATCCCACAAGGGGGAGTGGTCTCCCTGTTCCCTCTGTATGTATTCAGCTACACCTAATTTTTCTATTTCCTCTTGCGTTACGGCTTTGAAGCCTTACCTATAAAGGAGGAACACAACCACCTTAAGAGAAAACTGCAAGAATATCGAGGCGAAATATAAAAGTCAAGCGGAGTTGACCACAGTGGAGGGAAAAAGGAGATCACTGCCCCCTATGAAATGAGGTTGAAATAATAGACAGAGAAAAGCATTGGAATATTCGAAAACTTAAGGAATCAGCACATATGCTAAACCACAAAAATCTCCTAAGCCGGACAAGTATTGAAATGAATACAGTGTTAGACATTTTCATGACGGTCGTCTTCGAGTATAGAATCCAGAGGTTGGCAGTGAATATTTCGGAGACAGTAGGAAAGTGTACTTTAGGTTCGCAGTGGATATCACAGCAGAGTGTAGTTCATCCTACTCCTGGTCGCCTTTGGTCCTTCCGGTAGAGGAAACAAGATGGCCGCCTTTATACACGACGAATACAGTGTCGTGCGGCTTCTGATTGGTCAACCTTCTATTGGTCGACTATAAAGGGAAATAAGTCATTCTGACTCGCTCACTAGTTATATACGATATACCCAAAAAAACCGTAACATACAGTATAGGAACCAGTAATACAGAGTGCAAAAGAAAAGCAATAATAACAAAATTGTAATATGAACTCTGGTAAAAACTCCCCAAAAGTCCCCAAAATTGCTGATGTCCTCAGGAATTCACGGCCCACCGCGTAAAAGCGTTAGTTGAATCCAGTGATTTCACCCAAAGTGTTGTGAGTTCAATGCTAGTGAACAAAAAGTAAAAGGGGGATAACTGAGACACCCGGAAAAGCCACGGCACGTGGAATTAGAATAATCTACGCCAGTAGACGAAATAAAGGTTTCAGTTCGAAATTGCAATCAACTGAATATGGCCGGAGAGTACAACGGCCGAAACGTCGTGAATATGGCAATAAAGATGAGAACAACAACCCGGAAAATGTAAATCAGATCAAATATATTCATTAAAGTTTCGTTGTGCATCCAATTTATTCCTTTGTCCTGGGTATGACGATAAACTACACCCGCGCCTGGGTCAGACGACAAACTACGTCCAACAGCAAAGCCTCTTATCAGGACGTTTTGAGAATTATTACCATCAATACATTATTATCAGCAATAGATTTTAGGCAAATCTTTTTTACCAGCAAACATTTTTTGGAAAAAAAGATCAGAAATAGATTTTTTTGAAGGAAATATATTACTAGCAATACATGTTTGAAAAAACAAATATTACCAGCAATAAAAATGTACTCGGAATTAAATAACCCATTGAAGTTGATATGCCGTAAAACAAAACAAACCAAACCAAACCAGCAATAAAAATCTTGTCGGCATTAAATAACCCAATGAGGTTGATATGTCGTGAAACAAACCAAACCAGCAATAAAAATCTTGTTGGCATTAAATAACCCATTGAGGTTGATATGCCGTAAAACAAACCAAACCAAACTAAACCAATTTATTTGTAGGAAAAGAAATGCTTAAAATTTCCTTTTGTTATCTTTGTTTAATAAATGTTATTTTGTATTGCAAATCAATCGGTCTCTGATATTTTGTTCATGTACCCTTTTTCATTCCCATTCATTCATGTATTGGTAAATGATTTCGTAAGAATCCTTAAGTATTAATTATGGAAGTAATCAGCACACTAAAACTCCATCACTACTTTCGTTCCGATTTCGGATCACAGTTTCTGTTTTCGAAAGGTTTATCTTGAGCCCCACTTTTTCGGAATACTTTGTAGAGGAAGCTTATTTTTTTCTTCAAGATCATTCTTCTCCAAAATGTTAATGCCTATATCATCATGATGCTTATATCAAAAGAAAAGTAACGAACTCTCTATCTGTTCAGCTACACTTGATTTTTATATTCCCCCTCGTGTTACGGCTTTACGATGTTCTTGCAGCCTTACCTATAAAGGAGAATCCTCTCGCCCCCTCAACGTAAAACTGCAAGAACATCGTATCCTCCTATCCTCTGTACGTTGTCCTCGGGAGGAGAATCGTGGATGTTGTTTTCTGTTAGTAAATTCATTTGAGATACAGCATGCGATCGGGAAAAATGAAAAAATTAAACCAGATCCAGTATCGACATTTTAATCCGGACTTCTCGCAGAAATCGTGTAAAGTAACCTTAAATTGTGTTTGCACAAACGCTGAAAAGAAGCTACATATGTTAACCATGTTTGCCGTAGTCTTTGAATATAGAATCCAGTGAAGTCCATAATGTTGTTT